ATATGTGTTAATGGACTGTTTATTCTATCAATAAGGCTTTTTGGTGAACAGTAGGCTACTAGTAGTTAAGTTTTTGGGGAGTCAAAAGTTATACATGGATTTCTGACTGCATGGCAGTTGGTACCCCTATGCCAGCAATGTTCATGGGTCAACTGCCCTAACAGTATGTCCTTCCCCAAGACTAAAAAAATTCCTATACAACTATATACGAGAGGAGGAATTTTATAATGTTGCCCAAAGGATGTTAAACAGCTCTCTTAGCAGAATATTGAATTAAAGCATTCAGTAAATTGCTAATTTTTTATTTTAATAACCCTAAAACCACACTTGTAGGCTACAGAGAAGTACTTCTAAGCTGCAAGTAAAAGTAAAACTCTTGTGGAATTGAACAATATTCACCCAAAAGTGTAACCACAGAAAAAAACCTGCCTTTTTATTGTATGTTAAGGGATAAGAGATCTTTCTCTAGTAATCACCATCACTAAGGAAACATTTAGTTTTGAACAGAAGGAAGGACATGAAGAATAGGTTAATTTTGTGGCATACAACCCTCTGTAGGGCAAGGAAGGTCAGTATGTATAAGGATCTGTCCTGGGAAGCTCAGGGCAGCAGAGGGCTGTGGGTTACCTATCCAGATGGCCATGAAGAGGTAGATAAAAAAGACACAAAAAGACTGGAAGATGGCCCAGGTACAAAGGAAAACCCCTGAGCCATCTTGCTTCCAGTGCTTCCTACTAACAGAATCCCAGGCTGCTATGTAACACAATATGGATTTAGTAGGTGTTTAGAGAGTAGCCTGGCAACTGTTTCAATAGATGAATATGTTGTGAGGTCCAAACAGTCAAAATGACTATTTTTTTTAAGATGGTGGTAAAATGGAGATTGCCTACACGTACATTTAAGTTCTACTTCAACTAGCATTTAATAAATGATACTTCTGTTTCTTAAAGCACATAACGTGAATAAAAATAAATGAAGCAATCTGGAATCTGCATTTACTCACGGAGCAGAAGTAAGATGGTTATGTACACTTCGGCTTTCCTTAAAAAGCATTCTGGAAAAATTAAAAGGACACAGTTATTTTTTATAACAGATAATGTGATCATTGTTTTATGTATTTTTTAATCATGTGACTTTCAATAGGCTGTTACTTATATACCAAGTGTAAGTTGTAATGGTACAAATATACTCAATAATGTATTTTATGGAGAGTTTCATATCACCTCTATTTATTGAAATCTTTTAATACATCAATAGATCTTTTTTGTTGATTTAAGAAGGAGCACTCTAAGATCATGGGTTGAGATAGCCACGTTGATCAATTTTTACATTCTTAACTCTTGAGAGCTACGTTTAGTTTCTTGAGATACCACTCTCTATACTGACTATTTTCACTAGAACCTAAGGCTGTGTCTCCTTTCCTATGCTCTAAATCCCTTATTCAGTTCCTTATCTTCACATTACCCATATGAAGTTCCCCACTCAAAGTTCATAACCCTTTGGAAGTCTTCCTCCCTTCCCTTTTCTCTAGTAGTAAATTCAGGTGCAAAAAAGAAAAAGCACTTGATAAAAAAAAATCACCTTTATGCCTATCTCTACATCTCTATGTCCACATGACTAATTGGTTTGCCTTTCTTTTTTTATTTCAGCATATTATGGGGGTATAAATGTTTAGGTTACATATATTGCCTTTGCCCTGCCTGAGTCAGAGCTTCAAGCATG